TAACAAAGAAAATACTACAAAAAAATTAGACTATACTTTAGAAGTTAATCTAGTATCAAAAACGTTCGATTCAGCATGACACACAGTCGTCAAAAAAAAAACACCATACAAAAGTACCAGTGCTACCAGCTAAAACACACACATCAACAAAAAAAATATTGGAGTAGCCCAAGATATAGCCAAAGAATGCAGCGCCATTGACCTAGCGAAAATTAAAATTTGCCGACTGGAATTCTTTTAGATAACAGACGTTTTGGATAAACGACGCTCTGCTGTACTAACTTAAATAATACCGTACATACTGTTCGAAAATATTGAATTCGTATATATATATATATATATATCAATTAATTTCCGTCTACATTGGATTTGTTGGCTTTTCATTTCTGAATGCTACTTTCTTAATTTCAATAAGTTCTCACTAGTGACAGAGTGGTTAGAACCAACGAACACTGGTCGTGGGTCCCCACATTGGCTACGTAGAGTTTTTATGGTTTTTATTTTGTTAGTAACAGCGAAATAAAGGCCAGATTGTGTAATAGATCGCCCATTTAGCGTTATCTTTTGACAAAAATTAAAAAGCAATAATCTATATATAGTTTTAAGAAAATTTATATATACTATATTCACTTAATTACTACGACAGTGATATAGAGCGAAGTATACGCTTAATATCATTACTTCAACGGATAGCACTCACGTGGGTCGATTGAATTGTTACACTGTAAAAACTTTCTAAGTAGGCAATTTGGTTCTCTACATTTAACAATTAGGAGCATTTTCATTGCTGAATAGTACTTAATTCTAATAATCTTTTATTTAAAGAAACTCGCTATTTAAATGCTATTCACGTAGTTTATAGGCATATTGATTATGTTCTTAAAATGTGGGTTACCACATGCATTTTTGAAACTTACGATCTTTCAAATCACTTAAAGGTAGCATTAACACTTTATTATCACTCAAAAGTAATTTATTCTGGCATTTTTACAAGATTTCTTTTATTTAAACAAGTCTTATATGACATCTATGTGATATTAAAATTGGCAATTTCGATCACGTGAGGGTATATCACAACCTATTCAACATCGGATTACTTAATGTATTTCGGAGGTTATTTTTTTTTTCTTATTACTAATTTCGTGTGCTTTAAATTTGTCTCTTATAAATCCGAACAACGCCGGATGTAACAAACTAGTATAATATTAAAATGTTATTATTAATATAATGTATTATAGACCAAGTAAAACGGCAAAATCGTATTTGGGACAAAACTATGTCTCTGAGACTCACTACTAAGCGGAATCACTTTGACGCTCAATGCAGGTCTCGTTCTCATTCTCCAATCTTTGGTACAGTGGAACCCCGGTTAACGAACTTAATCCGTTCCGCGACTCCGTTCGTTAACTGAATTGTTCGTTAACCGAAGCAATTTTTTCCATAAAAATTAATGCAAATGCAATTAATCCGTTCTAGTCTCCGAAATTTTTGTCATTTTATTTAATATACAGTAATTTTCTTTGATGAAAATGTAGGAAAACGTAGTATCTATCATTACAGCAACAAACATGTAAACATTGTTTAATAAAATAGTAATGTACATACCTTCGTTTGTTGTAGGTGGTGGCAGAAAAATGGAGATATACGAACCTTAATGCTTAGAAGGGAAATCCCCTCCAAAAAATAACGGGTAGCAGTTCATTGGAAGATTCTTCGAGTCGAAGTCTCTTTCGGTAAATACCCACCAGTGGCTAAGTGGTCTTCGTACCTTGAACACGAGGAGTTCGTTCGTGGGTTCGCATTTCGCTCAGACGGGCTTGCAACGTGGAGTTTTCCGGGTTTTCTCCACGTTTGTAATGCCTAAATAGGGGCCAGTTTTCCTTAAAACGACCTCCTAGAAGGCATTCCCCTAGGCAGATCGCCCAAGTGTTGCGTTGCCATAGCTTAACAGACAAACAAACTCTTTCCGTAAGGAACAAGAAATTGATCTAAAGTTGATTGTCTTTTA